CGCCAATCCAACCACAAGATCCCCCATTGCGCGCGCTCCCCCTCCCTCTTCCTCTCTTCCTCCCTCTCTCCTTGTGTTTCTGTGTCGTAGCAACTAGCAAATGATGCTGCTAATGTAGTAGAATTGCATGTTTTGAGTACCCAGAGATGGGACTAATGAAGGCAAGACCAGCTCCAGCTGCGAAACAGATAGTTTGGACATTATTGTTAATCAAGGCTGGCATGAACTGTGAGATGAGTTAGGTCAATAACAAAATAATCTCGCTGTACACTCAACAACTTTGTCACACCAAGTGAGCCTCTTGGTCAAGGGATCTGCACCTAACCCAGTGTCTTAATAAAGAAGTCCTATTGGAAAAAGAATAATTTGCTAAAGTTGGAATGTGGGGCAACTGATTGCACATGTTGTCACATGGGGCCAAAATGACCTCTTAAGAACAATACAGTTGATATGCCTCTGGAAGAGGGAAAAAAAACAACAACAATATTTTTTTCTATAAGAGAAACCTAACCCAGAATAGTTGATTAGACACAATTTTTCTTAAGCAAAGTGAAAAGCACATCATACTAAGTCAGAAATCCTTTTTACTATAAATTAGTTGCAATCAGCTAGCTGCGAAGGAGGTATAAAACACCTTGGTGGCACCATTGATGATGACTTCGTTTTGCATATCTTTTGCTAAACAAACTTTTCTTCTGAGGTACTGTACTCACCAAACTGACTAATAAGTACCAAAAAAAAGTACAACGTATGGTTACCAAAACAGGTTTGTACGTTGTTTTGCACAGGTAATATTTCGAAAATTGCCAACTGAATGGCATATGGAGCAGTAGCATCAGGTGAACCATATATGCTCAGCTGTATTTGCTCTCCACCAAGGGTATTTTGCTTCGGAGAAAAAACTTTAGACACAATATAATTTGTAAATCTAAGCGATGTATTTGTCCAAAACATGAGCCAGGTTTTACACCCTTTGGTCAAACACAGCTCCCCTCACCCATTTATGCATTACTCTGTTAGTTTAATACTAATTAACAAGGCTACTAATGTTCAATTTCAATATAACTCAAATACGTACACTGCACTGAAGTAACTTCAGAACCAAACTAAACGGATGGGGAACAACCAAATAATGCCCTATCTGCATGTACAGGTCTGCATCTACAGCCAATAATCTGGGACAGCATGGACCAGAGCTCTACACTGCTGAACTGCGAGCCCGCTAATCAGGATTTGGAACCAACTACTCCAGCAGTCAGCCAAGCAAGAGAACACACAGTGCGTTTCCATACCCCGTACCTTGCGCAGGAAGGAAGGATGCAAACGAGGAGCGGCAGTGGCAGCGCCCGGGGAGGATAAGAGCCAGAAGCCCTTTGGATCAAGCCGCCACGTGATTCATCACACCGGCTGCTATCATAGCTTGCTTCTCCTCTTCGGGTTTCGGGGCCAGTCGACTCGGGCGGCAGTGGCTAGGCTGGATTGTTGGGGACGGCAGTGGGGCGGGGCACCTCGTGGAGTGGAGCGCCAGCGAGGGAGATCTGGTGCGGTCGACTGATGGGTACTACGGGCGGGCAACCAGGAGGGAGGGCGGGGATGCGGACGCCGGCGGTGCCATGGATTTGGGATTTTGGTGCCGGTGGTGGTAGGAGCAAGGAGCGGCAGCTGTCCAGCGGCGTGAAGTCGTGAACAGAGGAGACAGGAGAGCAATTGACCAATGACTAGAGTAAGGATAAGGAGCCTTCGTACGTAGACTCGTAGTATTGCACTGCACCAGATAACATGAAGAGCAACACTGGTACTTGGACGATACTGATATTGTTGATCGTTATTTCTCCTTTGGCTGTTTTTTCCACCTTTTCAATATCGCGGTGGACGGACGCGCACGTCCGTACGCCCGCACAGCCCGCCTCCCCCGCCTCGCACGTGCACCCTGCCCATCGCTGCTCCTACCGCTCCTCGCGTCTGAATGGACCGCCGCCGCCTCGCACGCGCACCCTTCTCCCCGCTGCGCCCCGCTCCTTCTCTCTGACCCCCTCCTCTCTCTGCGCGTGTGCGGGGCTCAGGAGCCAAACCCTAGCTCATTGCGTCCCCGTCTGCCGGTCTCCAACTTTGTCGCGCCCCATCCCCTGGCGCTTGGGCCGTCCGCCCATCACTTATCGTGCAACATGAAACACTTGGATGCAACATACGCCGGACACAGATGAAACATTTGAAACATGTTGTTGCAACATATGTGTGAAACATATGCAACATTCGGATAAAACACTTGCAACATTTGTGTGAAACACTCGCAACATTTGTGTGAAACACACGCAACATCCACATAAAACACTTGCTACACCATACGTCTAAAAACAAATGAAAGATTTTTTTTCAAAATGCTTACAACATACCATTGAAAACACTTGCAAAAATATACAACATGTGCAATATCCCGATCTACTTTTGCAACATTCATATGTAACAATTGCAATATATTTCTAAAACATCTGAAACACTTGAAACATGCATTTGCAACATAGGGGAGGGAAAGGCCGGGGTCGATCGATTCCGGTCGTTGGGGTGGGATCCGGCGGCGAGCGGCAGCGCGCGAGCACCACCAGCACCGGCCACGCTCAGGGCGAGGTTGGCGGCGTTCCCGACGGCGTTGGGTGACGGACGGACGACAAGGGAGCGAGCGGCGCGGCCAGCGATGGGGTACGGGCAAGGCGCGGCTGCCCGACGAGGACGTCGTGGGGGAAGGGGCGGAAGGTCGTTCGAGTGGCCACGCTGCTTCGGGGCCGAGCGGATATGCATATGAGGGAGTGGGGATTTGTTTTTTTATTTCTGAGAGAGATAGGACCGCTCCTGTGGTGCCACGTCCGGACGAGAGTCACGGACGGACGTTGGATCATTATCGTTTCAATTTCCATATTATTATTTTGTATCTTCTCAGCAATCTTAGAACCAATTAAAAGTTAAACAACTAACAAACATACTGTGTATGTAGACTATTGATGCTCTAGTCTTGGCATGTATCACACAAATGTTCTAGTATGATGAGACGAATAGTGGTAATTTGGTTGTCTAAATAGGTACTAGTTGGTTTATAATCGATGTCGCTACAAATGCACCATATTCAAATTAACACTTTTATATGAAGTTAGGATGAAAATATAAGAGGAATACTATACATATGCAGGGTTAGCTTCGAAGCAAAATTTGGATGTATAGTGTTACACAAAATTAGGTTAACAGGTGCCTTCTAAGGCTATTTGTTAGCAACCGTTTTGCAATGGCATGTGGAAATCTCAACCTCTTTTCAAAACCTAAACTTTTGGTGCAAATAGTTCATTCTTCTTGCATAGTTTCTAGCTAAAAACAAGTCAATTAATATTCAAACATTTTTTTCTTTTCTTAGAAAAATAATAAGTCAGATGCTTTAACACAAAGAACACTGTATTCATACAAATGCATCCATGGAATTAAAATTCCTAGCTAGGAAGGTAGGCCCTACTATAGAGTCTAGGACTATAACTAGGCGCACCTATGATTTCACACTAGAACCTTCACCAAATTTGTCTAATAAAAAAAGAATACAAACATAGAACTTTGCAAAAAATTGACAATTTTCCTTGTTTAATTCAGTGGTTTTAGCTGAAGGAGTGTTGTGGATTAGAATATTATCATTTCATGGTTCCTTCAAAAATATGATTGAAAGTTTTAGTTTATAGATACTCTCTTTAAAAAAATGATACATCAAAGCATATTTATTAATATTTGTAATCCTAGCCATTCCTCCCTTGTGAATGTTTCTATCAAAATGCTACAAATATATGTATTGATTTTAATGAGGTGTCAAGCATACTACAATATGAAGTTGTTGAAGGAATGCATAAATGTAGAAAGCATTAAATTTATATTTTTCTTTTCAATTGGTGATAAATAGTAATATAAAAGAAACTAAAACAATCCATTACCTTCTTAAGTCTTTGATATATCCAAGAGCATGAACTACACCAAGGTTAATACCAACTATACTTTCGAGCCTACAAGATTAAAAGATAGTTGTTATGAAAGCTACAAAAATGAACTTGCAACTTTGGGATTGTTAATACCATCTACACCAAGGTTAATACCAACTATATGCACCATATTAAGATCCATGGTTTTATGAAATTGTATTTATCTAGATAACACATAGTATTTTAATTTCTATCAATATGTCTATCATAAGAAGTCATTTTCTACATGGTCTTTGGTCTGTCGCCAGTCATCTCACAAGTGAAACTACTAAAACTATAAGAAAAAACTTCCAACCTTTCACTAACTACTTAGATCTACATATTATGAACTAAACATCTAAACAACATGTACACAGCGGAAGTATTGCTGAAGCGTCTTCCTAGAACCCTCCAATAAAATGACAGAAAAACAAGTATTTCAATGTACCTGTAGGTAGTGGAGTTCCATAAACGAACAGTCCCATCATGTTAACCTGTGATTACTACTGGAAGTTCTGGGTGATGGTAGACACAACTAACATGACGTGAATGCCCTTTGAGCATCTGAACAAGCCTTCCTGTCTCCACATCCCAGATCTAATTAGCAAAGAGGATGTCAGTGAAGTCTTGCAAAATTTGTTTATGCCAAACAGCATAGTAAGTGTATTATTCGGTAAAGATGCTATACTTGTGCAGTCCCATCCCATGATCCGGCGATGAAATACTGCCTCATATCAATTGTGTAACTGTGAACACAAAGCAGGCCGCCCAGGTGATCAGACAATGTAATTTTGGTCTCAGAAGAAGAAATGTTCCAGATCTGCAGAGCACGGCACAGAACAATCTGTTTTAAGTTTCCAAGGATTGAATTTAGTAATATTTCTTTTGTACAGAGCACTTATTATGCAAGAAAACCTTTTTGTAGATAAGATCAAAATTGAAGTCAAACCTTGATTGTGTGATCGAAAGATGCAGTTGCAAAACTGTTGGTGTCCATTGGGTTAATATTTACATGTTTTACTCTATCGGAGTGTCCCTCAAATGTTCGAGTACACTCCCAGTCTTCTCCCAATCCCAGAGTTTTATCAGGCGATCCTCGGACGATGAGAGGACAAGAGGATCAGTGGGATGCACGGCCAAAGACGTGATGTTACTATCGTGAGCTTCGAAGTTTGTAACTTCTTCCTCTGTATGATAACTGTATACATAGATAGTCCCGTAGCCATCACCAGCGACAATCCATTCCTCTCGCTCAATGAATTTAGCAGAGTAAACTGTTTTTGCAGTAAAATAATATTATGCATATGTTTATTTGTGATGGAATGTTAAATAGAACTTAAATGTTTTCTTGTTTCTTTGGGACGACTCTGTTAATTTAATATAAAAACAGCAGAATCCTTCCCGTTTCTTCTCTTTTTTCTAAGAAAAAGAATAAATGGAAATAGTAATGTTAGAAAGGATACCTGGTTTCTGTGTTAAGTCAAAGGATTTAGCAATGGCCTGCATATAAATGAGCATATTCACCATAACAAACTGAAATTTACAAAACAACAGAACTTGCTACCATTGTACAGATGACCAGATGAGATGGAGCAGCAGCCTACCTGTGCTTGGTAGTCCCAAATGACATCCTCTCCTGCTTGGTTGGTCATCAGAATCCTGCATTGCACAAAGAAAATGTGAAATGTGAAAAAGATTTGAATCATCTCAAGCGCTACGTCGTAAAACAGGAGCAAACCAGGGTTCCGTCGGATGCACGTCCATCGACAGCACGTGTGAAAACTTCCTATTGGATACAATCTGATTCAATAGAGCAATATTGGTGAAAAATGTCAACAGTTATAACAAAGAGGCAATGGTTGAAACAAATGGATGCAAATTACCTCGACTTCTGACAGTTGCTGGTACCACATCACCACCATTAAAAGTGAAAAAGAAATACAATACGAATATTTGTTAATTGGATGCTTAAGTCTAACATATATACTACATAAATAGTGGAAGTGTTTTCAACTAGTCAACTGGCCCAACGACTTACCTGAGCGTAGGTTGTCTCTTTTAGTGGGTCAGAAATAACACTCAACTTCAGCTCATACACCTTATCATCCGCCATCTCTTTGGCTTCTTTAAAAAATTTGCTAAACTCGATGGCCGCTGAGTCTAGATTAGCATTCTGCAGCCCAGGGTGAGAAACTCGTCACTGCTCAGCTGATATCTCTTCTTCTGATCGCTACCTGTCACTATGTGTGTGTAGATGCACTTTGGAGGCACGATGCAACAGAGTGGCATCTTTGCCATGTATCTCTTTGGGCACTTTGTCAGAAGCCTGACAGCAACGTGGTCATCCGTCGTGTTAGTCAGCTGTAGTGAACAAGAGGTCAGCTGATTGGCCTTAAATGGTAGCTGAAGCTTCCCGGGATAAATGCCGAGCAGCTTACTGGAGACAGAGTGCATCTACAAGAAGAGAAAAAAAAAAAAGATCGATAAGATGTGTTGACACGCGTCTGCATGCAGGTACCTCTTCATCCATCGGCCCATTGCCCTGCATCTGCTCTGCCACATTACCGGTGTCCGAGACACCGACAACAAAATCGTTTTCTTCATTTTCTATCTCCGACCGGTCTGGTTCTGGTCGTTTTCTTTTTCTTGAGCCGACCAAATCGTTTTCTACTTTACTGCTGCTTCCAGTGTTAGCAACAACTGGACCATTTCCGTCCATTTCTATCATTGCCGATCTCTTGCTGTGTGCAATTACTACCCTGTAACTGATTAAGAAATTGCTGATGAGAAGTTTTATATGGGATCAAAGAGCACAATCTAACTAAAGAGGCATGATTAAAAAAAGCCTAGTGCGTTTTTCTAGAGGACGTTATTGCCTAGTCAGAAAATATGTAGCTATGTTGTTAAAACAAAAAGTGCATAATTTGTGTGACTGATTCTGTACGACCACTTGGCTTATACCGATACACAACAAACCTATAAACTGCCTGTCGAACATGACCTCTTAGTTAATACTCTCTCTCTATTCAAAAATAATGTTGCCATTACATTCATATATTTTTGAATACGTTGATTTGAGTTTTGAAGAAGCGGGCACTAGTAAATTTGTAGTTGTTGATATTGGTAAATTTGTCTTATAAAGTACTAGTAGTGTACCACATGTTATTTAAAGTCATGCATATATACTTTACACTAGTAAATAGTGGGCACAATGTTGCCTGATATAACCAACCATTGCAATATTGAAAATCACAATCTTGCAATTTTTGGGAGTGCATGTTCATATACAAAAAGGAAAGGGATTTATCACTTGATGATGCACAATTGGCAATGCAAGGAGATAGAGCAATTACAACAGGCCCCCTACTTTGTTTTCAAAGGCTAAGGAAACCAAATTAGACTCCAACAAACTTCTACTAAGGTCATACTTTCAGGAGATTCCCAAATTCCCCGTCCCCAACTCCCTTCCCCCGTGGGTCTATAGGGCTCTCCTTATTTTTAATTTGACATTTTCTTCTCCTCATGCTTCACAATATTGAAAATTACAATATTGATTGTTGGGGGTATTGCTCTTACAAAGGTAAGGGATTTTCTCACTCTAGAATGCATAATTATTGCTAATGTTAGGAGTTACGTTTTGTTACATACACCAGGTTTGTGGCATGTATTTCCTCCATTCTGCAATATAGGGCCTGTTTGTTTCCGCGTCTGCTGGCTCAACTTGAACGCGCGATCGCTCAGGAGCATCACCTGCAACAGATGGAGGAAATGCGAGCCTGACCCTGCGATTTGGAAAAAGCGACGCTCATCACGTGCCTGCCCCTCTCCCTATCCCGTGCACTCTCCCTCCCGTGCGGGTGCGGCGCCGAGACTCCATCCCCGCCACCGCCTCCCTCCATCTCCGCCGCCGCCTCTCTCGTCAAGCTGCTCCCTCCAGCCCGGCCACCCCACCCCTGGCTCAGATCCGCCGCCGGCAGGCAGGACACAGCCGGATTTGGTCAGCGGCCGGCAGCCTCCACCGCTAGCTCCCTCCCACACCGGTGGCTCCCTCCCACACTGGCGTCTCCCTCCCCCACCGCTCCAGACTCCGGCCGGCCTCCACCACAGGCGGCTTCCCTGCCACTCCCTAGCCTGCCGGCCGTCGGCAAGCCTTCCCACGGCCGGAGTTGGCTCAGCCCTGTCGTCACTGTGTCAATTTTGAAGAAGGACTAGGATGGAAATAGAAACTTTTATTTGTGTCTAGTTGGAAGGATATAGACTCACAGGAATAGTAGTAAACAATGCTACACAGTTTGAGAAAAACATCCAGGGTTTCTAGTGCAAAATGTACACAAATAATCTACCAGAAGTAATCAGGACAGCCAAACGCTCAACTTATTCAGACAGCATATTCTCCAGATCGTGGCTTATCATATAATCCCACTTAGCTTATAAGCGAGACTCACAAAAGCTTAAACAAACAGGGCCATAAGTGATTTGTAGCCGTCCTAAGCCAAATCATCCTAAGTTTGACCATGTTTGTAAATAAAATTATTAACATCTACTACATCAAAGAGCTAAATTATGATTTTTTTTTCATAATGTATATAATAAAGATCAATTGATATCATAAATACTTTTTCCTACCAAGTTGGTCAAAAATAGAATTGTTTGACTTTTGACAACTGGAAATCCATTACATTTTTAGGAAGGAGTTAGTATTTACGAAGTGTTTGGTTAGGAGTCAAGGTGGGGTGGGGTGGGGTGAGATGTTCCTATCTCTGGTTTGTGGGACGGGACGGCCCTTTTTTTGTATGGTTGGGGAGGGATGAGATGAAATCTGTTTTGTGTTTGGTCTAGAGACATAAAAAAGTGGGCTGAGCTACTGATATATGGGGCCCATTTGCTAGTTTTTTATTCTTTTCTTTTTCTTCCTCCTCTCGTTCTTTCCCCAACTACAGCTGCGCTCGCGCACCACCCCTCCTGCTCGCAGCACGCTGCCCTTTGGCTCCTCTACCGTGCGTCGTCCCGTGTCGGTGTTTCGAATCACCGAGAGTAAATTTGTATTTGCGCGTCTGGCTCGGATGGTGTGCTCGAAGGACACAAGCGTTTATCCTAGTTTGAGCGGAATGTCCCTACGTCTAGTTCGCTGTTGCTCGTGTTACCGTCACTTAGTTTGTAGTAGGGGTTACAAACAGGCGAGAGAGGGAGGAGGTCCCAAGTCTCTGGCAAAAGGAGTGAAAGGGTGTTCGTGCGTTTGTGTTGTTGTGTGTATGCGTGCTTGAACGTGCTCGAACGTCTTGTGTTGTTTTTACGTGCCCTTTATGGAGCGTCCTACTTCCCCTTTTATAGGTGAAGGGGAGGTGCAGGTTACAGAGGAAGAAAGGAGAAAAGCAGGAGAGAAGAAGGCTTCCAGGGCCACCGGGTCCTTCTTCTCCTTCGTGCGGGTCCCACCGATCCTGTAGGGATGAACAGCAACGTCTCCACGTCGCGGTCTTGTTCACCACTGGTCCCATGCCTTGGCATCATTAGCCGATCAAGACGCTCCATCTTGTCCCGGCGAAAAGCGTGGTGAAATGACGTGCTCGTCGCGAGTCGTATAGGGATTAGATAGCACAGTGTCGGCACGCTCGACACTGTTGTCGACATGATCCCCCTGGTATGGTCTATCATGGTCATGGGTTACATCGAGGCGTGCTCGCTTTCCCCCTGGTGTCAGAGTTTTGACCTAAGCCCATACGCTTGGACCTGGAGTGGTTGGCGGTGGTATGGGTCCCCGTCGGGCGAGATGGAAGCCGCGCCCAAGGGGTTGGACAAGGCAGAAACCCAACTCCTTGGGGTCGGGCGGCACGAGCCCACACCATTGGGATCGGGCAAGATGGAGCCCACACCCAAGGGGTCTAGCGAGACAGAGCCCGCGGCCATGAGGTCGGACGAGACGGAGCCCGCACCCAAGGGGTCTGACGAGACGGAGCTCGCGACCTTGAGGTTGGGTGAGACGGAGCCCACGGCCTTGAGGTTGGGCGATATCCTTAATACATCTCGGGCCATCCGGGGAGGTTAGCATGGGTGTTAACTTCCTTGCTTTGGGTATCCCTAATATCGATACCCGACAGTAGCTTCCGAGCCTACGGAGGAGTAGAATACTCCTTTGGAGGCTTGTCCAGACGGGATGACTCTGAGGGCCTTGGCGTTCTTTTATAGCCCGCTGTGTGTCCTGGTAGGTAGGCGATTCCCTTTTGTCATGATTGGACTCCTTGGGCATGTAGCTGCGGGATTCGGGAGGTCGAAGAAGATCTCTCTTGATTTCGATCCCCTACTGGGATCTGATCGATCCGCCGTCGTTCTATGACCGCGCGTTCGGTCTCCTTGCAAGTCCAACTTTTCTTGAGCCCCTGTGCATAGCAGGGGTCCGATCGAGGGTCGACTCGTCTGGTGATCGTCTTCCCTCAAGCTTTTTTCCGATAAAAATGGAGGGGTGAGCCATGCCATGATTTTCCTCTATGGATGAACCATGGTGCTCGATGAGCTGTTAACGAGCTAGTCCGAGTGAGGCCCTAGCTTCCCATTCACAGGGGTCTGGCTTGGGTCAGCTGGTGACCGACTCTAGATCTCAGCGGCCAATCCATATAGTTCCCGGGTCCGTTCGACCGGTCCCAAGGGCTCTCTGCCTTTCTTCAAGGAAAAACCATGGACTGTAATCCGGCTGAGACTCGAACGTGGGCCGGGATGCCTATGGCGCTTGTGCGCCCAAGTACTGGCCACTAGCGGGCCCATCCCTTTTGACCCCTCACTCTAAAGGTGCCCCAGAGCGGTTGTGAACCCATTGGTGGGCCAACCTTCGAACTCCTAGGCCTGAATGGGCCGTGGGAGCGTTTTTAGCTCCGTATCCCTACTTACCTGCGATGGTTCTTGGCCCATCTACCGGGCGAACCATCATCCGGTGTGTCCTTCGAGGGCACGTCTAGAGATAGCATGCACACGACCTTCGGAGGGAGGTGACATGATACGGCGTAGCGGGTGCGTGAACCTAGGTGAATGGTTCTCCTTCTCGTCCTGCTCCGCCATATAAATAGCGGCCTCCCCCTTCTCGTTTCTGCACACAAAAACCATAGCCTTACCTTCTCCATTTCTCCGCTGCCCTTGTTCGGATCTATTGTGCCTGCTAATCCACCATCGGAGCCCTAGATCTATAGCCCATGCTTCTCCGCCGCCGCCTTTGCTTCTCCACAGCCACCTCCACCTTCCATGGATTTGTGATACCGCTCCAATGTTACCCACATGCGCATGGAGGGCCTCGTTAAGCATGGTCTTCTCTGCGAAAGAACCGATGCGACAGAGTGGCTCATGCTCGGCCATGAGGATGTGCCGACGTCGCCTGACGGCTACATCGTCTCCTTCGCGCCCTTCCACGAGCGTGGACTCGCGGTTCCTCCCACCCATTCTTCCAGGGTCTGCTGCACCACTATCAGATCGAGTTGCAGCACTTGAACCCCAACGAGATCCAGGCCATCATCATGATGTGCAAGGGGTACCTAGGGATCGAGCCCCACTTCAAGCTTTGGAGATATTTCTTCTCCATCTCCTTGATCAAGAAGAAGGAGAGAGGTCAGGAGACCCCGATGCCGATGGGATGCATGGGCATCCACCTCCGGGGGCAGCGGGCGGCTGAGTACATGCCCTGCCAGCTCTCTAGATCCAACAAGGGGTGGCACTCGCACTGGTTCTACCTAAAGAATG